TGGCGAACCTCAAGAGAGTGTTTGCACGGCTACAACTTGCAAATCTGAAGCTGACACCGAAGAAATGTTCGTTGTTCACCAGACAAGTCGAATACCTCGGCCACATCATTTCAACGAATGGGGTTTCCTCGGACCCTCGCAAATTATTTGCTCTTGCTGAGTGGCCGACACCGACATCCATCACTGACGTACAGAGCTTTATCGGGCTGGCATCTTATTACCGAAGATTCATCCCCAATTTCGCTCACCTTGCCAAACCGTTGTATGCCTTGACAGAAAAAAAACCAAGTTTCTCTGGTCTCCAAAATGTCTGCACGCATTTGAGACATTAAAAACAGCACTCACGTCTCCACCAACGCTTGCCTACCCAAAAGACACCACAGCGTTCATACTCGACACCGATGCTAGTGCTTTGGCAGTTGGCGCAATGTTATCGCAAGAACAGGATGGGCATGAACGCATCATCGCTTATTATAGCAAAGTGTTCACCAAGCCTAAGAGAATTTACTGTACCACCCGACGCGAACTGTTGGCTATCATCAAGGCCGTAACTCATTTTCATCATTATTTATTGGGCCGGAAATTCATTATTCGTACCGACCACGCATCCTTAACCTGGATGCTAAGCTTCAAGACCCCTGTCGGGCAGGTCGCCCGATGGCTGGAGCGTCTTCACCAATACGACTTTGAGATTCAACATCGAGCTGGCGCGCTTCACACAAATGCTGACAGTCTTTCACGACGACCGTGCAAGGACAAGTGCAAACAGTGTTTAAGCATTGCAAAACGCAGCTTCATGCCAATCAACTCACTGCAGAACCTGCCTTACAATAACGAAGCGTGGGCATTGGAAAACCTTCGAGTCGCTCAACTTGACAATCCAGATATTGGCCCCCTGGTCAAATGGAAGAGGAAGTATAACAGACCTCGATCTAAAGAAGTGTCCGGTTTGTCTCCTGCCATCAAGAGTTACTTGGTTCAATGGGATTCTCTGTTTCTGCACGACAACCTTCTCTACCGACGCTGGGAGTGAGGTGCTGGCGGTTCTGTCGTCTGGCAGCTGCTGTTGCCACGCAAGCTCTGCTCCCAGGTATTTCAACAACTGCACAGTAGCCCAGAAGGAGGACACTTTGGTGTGAGCCACACGATCAAAAAGATTCGCCAACGGTTCTACTGGCTGCAATGCTACAATGACGTAAAGCAGTCGTGCCGTCAGTGCGACATGTGTGCATCGCGTAAAGGACCCCACATAAAACAACGGTCACCACTACAAGAAAATGTGACGGGGGCACCCTTTGAGCGTATCGGCATCGACTTACTGGGGCCGTTTCCTCGGTCTAACTCTGGAAACAGGTTCCTGCTCGTAATTGTAGACTATTTCACGAAGTGGCCCGAAGTTATTCCCATTCAAAGTCAGACCGCCTCCGAGATCGCCGACGCTCTCGTAAAGAATTGGATTACCAGGTACGGAGCCCCACTGAGCATCCACTCAGACCAAGGAAGGAGCTTTGAATCGAGAGTCTTCCCAGAGGTTTGCGAGATTTTCAATATCACAAAGACGAGAACGACGCCCCTTCACCCGCAGTCGAACGGTCTGGTGGAGAGGATGAACCGCACCATTTTACAACATCTATCGATGTTTGTAAATGATCGCCAAGACGACTGGGATAACATCGTGCCTCTGTTTCTGTGCGCATACCGTACAGCTGCTCATGAGGTCACCAGCTACACGTTCGCCACGATGCTATTTGGCCGTGACCTTCGTATGCCCTGTGAAATTGCCATCCCACGAGCATCAGAACCGGCCAAAGACCATGTGTCTCACGTAAGCGACCTGAGAGCGAACCTAGAACGGATGCATGCATTTGCCCGACAACGTTTGGCAAGTGGGCTTGCTCGTATGAAAACTCAGTACGACGCACATGTCGCAACACGCCCGTTCTCAGCAGGTGACAAGGTATGGCTGTAGAACCCCATCCGGAAAAGAGGACTGTCTCCGAAGCTTCAGCGCCATTGGCAAGGACCCTTTACGATCGTCGAACGGTTCACCGACGTGGTATATCGCATACGTCGCAATGGGCGCGTTCAGTAGCGGCCCCGGAGTCAAGGAGTCACTGACTCCTTCCACTGGACGGCCAAAAGTCACTTCCGGTGCACGTAACTCCGGGGCTTCGGAGTCAAGCTCCGAAGCACCGAGTCCGGAGACGGTGCACGTAGAGTCAAAGGAGCTAAAGTGACGTCATTTCCTGACTGGTGACGATTTCCGGCGCTAAAAGAGGAAAAAACAAACAATATGGCGGGATAAGCTGCTTCGGTTCTGTCGCGGGTGCGCGGTTTGCTCGCTTTTGTTAATGAAAAGTGCTCAAGGTAAGACGAATAACGCGTTCGAATATCTTTTTGAGGTAAGGCTCTTTCGGAAAATGCATTGGACCGTATTTTGTTTGGTTTGAATATGCTAATAAACAACGCAAACGTTCATTTGACGCGCCGTGTCTTGATCGCCGTTGCACGGAAACTCGGTAATATTGACGATAGTCCTGTCCGCGCGCAACAGAGAAAAACAGGGTATGAACGCGACTTTGGAAGCCGGTTGGACACTCACGCAGAGCATGATACCGATTAATGTTTTGTTTGCGTAGCTAAATCGGGGTGCACGTTGGCTGAGGCTCGCTTCGGCCGACAAAACCTTGATCGCCGAGCGCGGCCGAACTTCCCGTGTGTATACAAATACATTTTATAGGAAGTTCGTTACGAAGGGCAGAACAAACTTATGGCCGTATAAAAGTATCGCAACCGGCGGGGTAGATTCGCTGAGCTCTGTATTTTGCGTGTACTGACGACGATTTTTGTCGGCTTTTATAACAGTAGCTGCCTTTGCACAGCCAAGCGAAGGGCTCGATCGCGTTGCATCGCTTCGAACAGCAGCGCTGATGTGTACAATCACCCGCTTTTTCTTCAATGACCTTGTAAAGACTTCTTCAATACCGGCGTCAAATAAAAGCGATCGTGCTCGCCATCGTCTGCTTCCAATTTATTCGGAGACCGTCTGGCACAAGGGAGGAAGCGGAAGTTGCGTAGAAGCAGGTTTGGAGCCGCGGTTTTTTTTGCCGTTCAGTAGGCGCTCCGATGACTCCGACTCGAGGCACTCCGTTCGGAGGCAAGGGAGGCGGTACTGAACGCGCCCAATGATCGATCACGGCTGCTCGTGGTTCACCGTGACCGGCTATCACCGTACGAAGGATTTCGTTAATTCTCACTACAAGGAGAGGAAACAAAATGGGAGGGGAGATAATGTAGCGATGAAAAGAAGAACGGAGGCCGAAGGTCGCGCGATGCGAGCGCTCAGGCAAGCAGTTCGAAGCAAGCCAGCAAAGAAACCGGACGTCTTGTCCGGCTAATAAACAGCTGGCAAGCGGAACCCGCTTCATTATAAACAAATATTATCGTCTCCGCCTCTTTTTTTAAATAGAAATTTCTTAAATTATCAACCCTGCTAAAGTACTCATAAACAGCATTTCGCAATATTGGCCCTAGGAAATAAATTATTTTGATATGAACCTTTGCTTACTCATTATATGATATAAGTGACAGGCTTGTCAAATTAAATCTGGCATTTGTCTTTCGTAAAATTGGCCAAATAAAATTAAAGGGCGCAGGAGGAGAAATACCTCGGAACGTTTGACTGAATTCAAGCGCTAGGCGCCCCTTCACGAACCTGTGTGAACAAAACCGCTTTGTAAATTTCGACGTCGCCAGCCACAAAAAGGAAACCTTTATTTGCCATCGCCAATCCTGGACTCGAGTAATTGTTCAGACGGCTATTTCTTTTTTTTTTTTTTGTCGTCAAATAGTCAAATCTTGCGGATCTTAGATACTATAAAAAAGTAAAACAACGTACGCAAAAAAAAAAAACACCAAAAAAAAAAACGTCATTATTTGGCATGCACCAAATCCTAACCGCGTTTCGGATTGGCAAAGAGAAACGACGTTATTTCTTTGTGCACGCTATTATAAAACTCACTACTGTTAAGTATATGTCACAGTTTCTTACGCGGGAAGTCCAAACCTTTGTGTTAAAATAAATTAACTGGGTGGCACTGGTTATCTGAATATAATCCCTAAATCACTTAAAGGACTGCCAAAATCAAAACGAGCACGGCGTACAATTTTTTTTTTTTTTAATTTCATAAGTAAGTTGACCAACCGAATGTTTACGCCGCAGAAAAAAGCTTGAGAACCTCATACACATGTAGGTGTGATATTATGAACAGACAAATTGCCTGATGTTGACGTACCATAACTTTCAGCATCAGATAAAATATAAGTTAAACGTTCGTTGTCTATCTCCTCCGCGATTCCCCACATAATCAAAAGAAACTGTTTTTGATATACTATGAATACAAAAAACGAAATTTTCAGGAAATAAAAGAGTCTCCTTGTGCTGAGTATTCTTGACGCCTTCCGATCCTCAATGCGGGATATAAATATACGCGCTTCTTAATGAGGGTGTTCCGCCACTATTAGTAAACAAACTTGAGTTGTCATAAGGACCTTTGAACCCTCATGATGTCTTAGTCGTGGAGTAGACGTATCGGACTACGGTTTCCGAAGTAAGTCAAGAAAGCGCGGTGAAACGCGACGAAAAACACAAATACAAAGCATCCGCGAAGGCGCGGAGGGGAGAGCGGAGCAGCAAGTTGAAGAAACCTCATGGCTGCCGCGTAACGTGATTCCACGATGGCAGCGCCCATGCGAAGGAGGATGAAAAGGTCTATATATATTGTTACGAAGATGTACAGCCGGCAGCAAATGACAATGACGCGTCCACTCAATGAGATAGAAAGGATTTAATGGAAGCTGGGCCGTGCGCGCGGAGCCTGGCGCGAGATGGTCAGGCACGCCACTGCCCCAGCGTCGTCGTCTTCGTCGTCACTTCATATATATATATATATTTGATATGTGCCCGAGCTTGCTGTGTTTTGATATTTTCTCCCTTCTAGTATCAAAGATTGCACCTGCTTGAGAACGAATTCTTCTGTACCTGTGAATTCGACGTATCTTCCGTCCCACTTTTTGAGCGGGACAGATTTATGCACCATGCAGAATGAGAAATATACAGTTTGTGACGTAAGTGCCCCTTGTTTATTTTCTTATTCAATCGTGTGTTAGAATAAAGCTTTTCGTACTTTCGGTAATAAACTAAACGGTATGCATATGTGGCTTTTTCAATATAGAACCAAAAGATAACTTTATCAGCCTTATCCCTAGTTATTCCTACTTTTCAGCCTTATTCCTAACCTTTGGTTCAGTCAGCTTTATTTTACAATTCTGATTGAGACATCAAAAGTCATTCTTAGGGTAATGTTTAACCTCTGCAATGAGAAAACCGGATTCTTTGGTGTCGTCATCGGCTCATAAAGGTTCTAATTTTTGAAAAAATTTAACGCAATTTTACTATTAAAGTAAAGAAGGTGCAAATAAAGTATTTAAAAAGTTTCAAATAATATGACCTTGACATGACATATAAACGATCTTATGCTGTAACAGAAGAGTAAGCACGCCTAGGTTTACGGAAATAAAATGTTTATAAATTAAAAAAAAGAGACACCATGATGTTTCATTGTGAGAAACGCAAGGTAAGTCCGGCACCATGGAGGTAGTAAGCTTCTTGAGGTGATATGGCGCCACCAAAGGTGAAAACGGAAATGTAGAGGGACACGCTCCCAACGACGCCCAAAACCACACCTGTTGTGGTCACCCTCGGGTGTCCAAAACAACTGTGGTTTTGGTTGTCGTAGTGGACGTATCCTTCCACACTTCTGGCTTCACCTCTGATGGAATGTAATGTCGCCTCAAGAAGATTCCTACTTCCATGGCGAGGACCCTGAGGTTCTGTCCGGTATTTGACTTATCAGCCCACTAAATCCCGAGACGGAGGCCAACGGAGATGCCTCCGGCTCGGGTTTTAGTTTGTCGATTAAAAACCAGCTCTCCTGCTTAATAACGCAGTTTTAATTTTTCTCATAATCTCGCTGCATATTCTCGCATGCGCTGTAACGCGGGGGAGATTTGTCACAAATAATTGGTTGGTTCTGTTTTTGAGGGCATGGGCCGATACCACCTAGAAGACAAGATACTGCACGATTGTTACTGCATTCTGTATTCGCCCCAAACGTCAATCACTCCGAAGCTCGACGGGAGTACAATGTTCAACTAATCAAAACCCTGCCTTTTCCGGTTTTTCGGTTTGATGGTACAACACGCACGGGTTGCTAGGCGGGACTAGGCTAGAGGAAAAGCAAGGCTGCCATTTCGCTTGACGCGAGCCGCGCCATGTAATTCCCGGTTTTGCGTTTTGATGTCGGTATCGGCCCCGGCGGGGAGTGACGAGTTTTTGTTGGTTTCCTTCGATAAAATTTGACCCCAACGAAATAGCGGCGTGGGATTGCGCGTTGAAGGTGGTTGACCTGTCGGGCCCTGCTAGGGCTTGGGAGGCAAATGAGCATACGCGTCTACTTTAAACGATTTGAATTTCATGAGAACCTGACTTTCGCAAATTTCTCGACCTAAATATTACCGCGAAAAATAGATCCCGCGAATCTATTACTCCATGGTAAAAAAATACATAGCAAACCACTCCTTATTGCAAACTTTTCTTCCCGCAAATTATTGCCAAAATTTGCGAAATATCGAGCCCACAAAAATAAAGTCGTTCACAGAATGCGGAGCTCACTTCGTTGCAGGTCAATCACCTTAATTGCACATCAGATTGATACGTTGCCGATTCATAAGACAGAAAAACTATCCCTGTACCAACATCATCCAGAATGTTTGCCGACTGTGTTCCTTGACACGAAAAAACGACAATCCCGGTCGCTACGAGCCTTCGCGGTGGCGCAGATTTTTATTGCAACTTCCGCCCTTCTCTGACATGGCGCGCATACGGCGCCGCGTCAGTCTGTATTTTCTTTGGCAACTAGATGAGTTGCGCGCGATTTACCTGTTAAATGGGTCGCGCGCCGGAATTCCGCCATGAAAATTCTGTGATGACACTTTTGGAGAACGCTAGGGGCACTGCAGCCAGCAGGCAAATTAGCGTTCCTCAAAAGTTTTCGAGAGCTTGCATTACAAAGAGTTTCCGATTTTTCGATCGGGGTCAAGCAATTTATGTGCCGCATTTACAATACGAGCTGCGAGGAGGTGACGAAAGGGCTTACCGTCTGCAAAGGCCTCCGCCTGTCCTGCTGCTTTCCTCCTCGCCACACGAAAACGCAGTGCATGCGCACTTACGAACGGTCGCCGCAGGAGGAGTCCTCCATTAAATTGCAAATACATTCCCATGGCTTGAGATGGACCCATTCTTCAATCTAGGCTCTCTAAAATTATCATCCCGCCTATCGACCCTCTTTCATGATTGCGCGCATGATTGCGTGCATGGGACGCCCATCACACTTCCCCTTCTATACACCATTACCAAAGGTAGGAAGTGACAGCCTACGAACGCCATCCATTGCTGCGCATTTCGTTTGTGTTCGGGCAACCAGCTTATAACATACATAGGCTGTATTTCGTCCGACCAAAAGCACGTTATCATCAAACAAACATCCAAAAGTACCCCACCCGTTTTCTTTACGCACCCCCTTTCCTTCGTAAACGAAGACATGGCGTCCTTGAACGTCCCTAGTCCAGCCCGTTCATATACATATAACACACAGAAACAGCAATGGGGCCGCGTTAACCAAAGTCACGACAGGATAGGGATGGGAAACGTCTCTTCGATTTCCAAAACAATGACGCTCTCGGCGCTTCTCCAAAACAGCGAGGATACCGTGTCTTGCGCCTTTTCATCGACGGAACGAGGCATATCCCAGAGCCATCTGAGGCGTTCCACCTAACGTTGCGGACGTAATCTTCTTCATTGAAAGCCCATCTTCGATTGGCCTGTCACAGCGAGTCCGTCTAGTAGTTCAGGTATCGCCACATTTTTCTTCGGACATGCCCGCGACCTGCGGTGGCTTCTCCACCTAGCCTTTGGGCTGAAACGGGAAAGGAATGTAGTCGACCACCCTCAATTGGTACCAAAAAGTAGCAGAGCCACAAAAACTAGAGAGAACGTCGACGTACTGGAAAACAAACCTAGAGCCAGTGACAGGTTAAGAGTGCAAGGGAAACTCCTCTCTCTCTTTCTACTTTAGCAGAGCGGACGCTTGAGAAAAGGCGAATTTCTCTGCAGCATTCGCTCTGCTCAACTGGAAAGAGGTGGGTGGAGTTTCCCTTAACTCTTAACCTGTCACTGGCTGTAGCAACGTGCAAACATTAAACCTAATGGCCTTGTTTTCCACCCAAGAAGCCCTCAAACCCATTTACAACCAGATTCCAATGTCTGTTCATAGATGGCGCCACATCGGAGGAAAAGGGTGGATCGGCCATCGGAGCGCGTGACCTCTCTAGAGCTATTGCATGTGCCCCGTTTGAGGAGCATATAAAATCTCTAGACTTTACGGTTAGCATGTATACATTTACTCTTCGTTAGAGTAACCGTATAGGGTTCCGCCACTGGGTTACTCTGGTAGGCATTCCTGAGTTATTATACATGAGCGAGCCCACACGCTCCGCTAGAACATTTTGTTTCGTCAGCACGCTGCGAAGTGGCATACGCAAGGACATACGCGCATTTCTTCCTGCCTTCGTACACCGGTATTGCGCTCTTTTTGGGACGCTGCAAACACGTCAGAGAAAGAGCAATTAAATGACGGAGCCAGAGTGTCACCTTCCTTTTTGCTTTCGCCGCCAACTCCTCATTGGTGGTGAAGGAATTACAAGTGCTAAATTTTACTTTTGCGCTTGTGGGGAAGCTGCCTTGAAGAAAACGGGGTATGGAGCGGAAACACACACATGTTTCGTCTTGCACTCGCGAAATATAGATCTTGACGAACAGGGGAAGCTTCTTGAACCTTTGGACATAGTGTGCACCACGCCGCCAGTTAGATTGTGTAAATGTGGCATTTAGATGACGCGAGCGCAGTTGCAAAGCGGCTGTGAGCAAGCAGACGACACGTTAACCACGAGGGCTAAGCTCGTCCGCGTTCTTCCAAGGTACCTGAGAGAGGCACAACGGCCTATTGCACGGTGAACGGCACCTCATGTCGTCGTGCCGCCGTGTCTCCTGCAAAGGCAACGTTCCCTTCTGCCGCGACACTTGAAGTAAGAATTTGAGACCGTTCGGATACCCTGCTCTGCAAGCAGAACATGCACAGTTCTTTAGTCAGAAGGACAGTCGCGGTTAATCTCCACCGCACTAGGGGGGCTTTACTACAAGTTATGACTTGAGAGCAGGAAAGGCATCATATTTGTCTTCTAGGTGGCATTGCATGGGCTCATTTGCTTATCACAAAAGTACAATCTATATTATATAGACTATACTCCTTACTCTTCCGCATTTTGAAGAATACTTTCTGAATTGTCAAATCACATAAAATCAGTTTTTCAACGCTTTATGACTGGGATTGCTGTCCCTCTAGTATTTGAATGAATCAAAACAAACTTCTGTTTCTACGTTCAGATCTGGCTCTCTGTACCTAAGACTGACACTTCATACAATATGAAGTATATAAATATAACCTGGTGTTTTAAACAGGGTTAATTTTTTTCCGGAACGTATGAATGAACGTTGTGATGGTGTTATCAAAGAACAGCTTTCTGAGCTATAAGATATTACAATACGTATGCTTTCTCCCTGGATCTCGTGGTTCTCAAGATCGTCCATTTTATGACAAGTAAATCTCAGCATACTTCTGTTTTGAAATTGGAAGCCTATCATAAATGCGCTCTAATTTATGTTACAATCTTAGGTGGTAAATTTAGTGTTGGCCATTACCCAGTCTGAGCCACTGTCATGTTCGCCCTAATTGCGTCACGCACTGTTAGCACTTTGTCCTATATAAAAGATTTTGTTTTCTCCCAAATCTGGCACACAGCACACACAAGCGTTCGTGTTTTCTTGCTTCGTTGCTTGCTGTGAAAAAGGCACGAAAGGAAAATGGTCTGTTATTCTTGCCCCCGATGGCACACAAAGTAAAGAATGCCAGGTGCGTAAATCTACATATTAGAGTTTAATTTAGAAAGTTTTTTTTGTGGCACATGGGGACACTTCTAGATCTTTCATAAAACAAAAATACAGTTCTGCTTTTTTCGCTTAAACGGATACTGGGCATCTCATCGAACGCTGTTTCATCGAATCGACTAACGTTTCATCGAACCGACTAACGTTTCATCGAACGTCGCTTCACCAAATTTCAGAGCATTAGACTGCTTTCTAGATGTTCTACTCTCGCCTCTAAGTAGTTTTCACAATGCCGTCGAATCACCAGTACTAAAAATACTACCCTGCACACTTTTTCAAACAAACCTTGTTTACTGAACCATCGAACAGAACAAAACTTACGTGGGTGTACTACTTACAGTTTTCAGGTAAGATAAGTGACTGTTCTCCACCACATACTTTCTTCCCTTTTTATCTCCCTATTTTTTTACGCAAGAGAGTACGCCCTGAAAAGGAATATAACTATTCTTCACTATATCTTTGTATTTTTTATTTATCTGTTTAATTTTGTTTTTATTTTACCATAAAAAAGTAGCTTTCTGTTTAAAAACCAGTCTTAGGTAGTAACGCGTTACTATTACCAGTAACCCGTTACTGTAACTTCGTTACTTTTACGGCAACTTGTAACTGTACCGAGTTACTTTTTAAGAATGTAACTTGTAACTGTAGTTCTATTACTTTTTCTGAGGTAACGATGAAAGTAACGACGTTGCTTTTGTCGTTACTTTTCAGTTCTTTGTGAATAATATATCATTGAAAGAGTATAATGCAGCTATTCCTTGCACTTCCCAAACTGTCTGTTCCGACATTTCGAGCGTCAGCTGGCGTTGCACAAACTTGAGAATACGCTCTTTCTCGCGAGTCACTATCCGAATATAGCCACGAGTAGATTTGATGAAAAAAAAAAGTAGTTATCTTTATGCACTTGCTTGTACTTTGTGACTGAACACTTACATCTTAGTATATTGAAGCACTATCTCGGTTGCGGTTTTTCTTTTTTCGGCGGACGCTTTTTAATCGGGTGAATCAACCGTGAAACAACAATACGCGCGGAGGGAACTTCGTATGTTTCGTATTTTGATTAGCGCCACTACTCCGCAGTGCGCATCCTTCGTATTTTGATTTGCGCCACTACTCCGGCGTGGTTTCAACGGTGGAAGCAAAATTTACTGCTGTTTGCGCAGGGCTTGTTTCTGGTTTGCCGGGTACGAACAGAAATATATCAAAGGAGTGAATAAACCCAGCGCAACCGTCAACGAGCCAACAATGTGCTAGTGCTACCAAGGATTGGGATGTTGATGAGAACAAAGAACTAGCATATGGCCGGCGCACAGAGAGTATTTTGCTGTGGTGAAGGTAGTTGTTAACTATTTGACCGCAGTACGCAAACTTTGCAACAAGGAGTACTCCGAAAACAAGTTTTCGGTTTCATATCTGAGAAACCACATCCTGTTGAATTTTGGTCTTTATTCTTTTCATAATATTGACTAATTTACCAGCTAAATTATTAAGTTTGAATTTACCGCTATGATGAAAGCCGACTGATTCGTGTCTATACGTTTTTCTTTCAAACACTAGTTTGTTTCTTAATTTTTGTGTTATAGAAAAGTAACTGAAAAGTAACGTCGTTACTTCTTGAAAGTAAATGTAACTGTAACGAGTTACTTTTTTGTTGCGGTAACTGTAATGGTAACTTCGCTACTTTTTTCTGAAGGTAATTAACTGTAACGAATTACTTTTTAAAAGTAACTTACCAATGACTGTTAAAAATATACGTTGTAAAGCCGGCAGGTTTATGGTTCCGCCGACTACGAAAAATAATAAAGAAGGAAGACAGGTTTCTTTTTTTTTTTCTTCTGTTTTATGGGATATTGAGACCGGTCATTGCTTTAAAAGCACGGTTTTGTGCGTGAAGCAAGAGGCGTAGCCAGGAATTCTTTTTAAGGGGGGCTGAGGTGCCAGGGATGTCCATGATTTTGGGAAGGGCGGGGGGAGTGCATGTGTATATATTAAAGAATAGACTGGATTATGAAAAAAGGGGCGGAGTATGTGTGTTAAAACTTTATTGCCAGAAAGACGCCCCATCCGTCCGTCTCTAAGAAGAGGGTCCGATGGCCTTCATCACCCGGGGCCCTTAAAGAGCAACTCCGCTTCATTTTTGTTAAAAAAAAAAAAAAAAAAAACAAACAAACAATGTAGTTCGCATCAGTATCACTTAGGAAGGCCACACGCCAAATATTACGACGTAGTTTTGTCTAAATGTTTCTTAAACGGTCCGGCAAACTTTGCAACTCGCCAAGTTGCCGAAATCGGCAGACTCGAGGGGTCGAATTGAGGCGCAACCAACAGCGCAGTCAAGGCTACGGCGTGGGCAAAGCCAACATTGAACTAAACGTCATTACCATTGCCCCCCTTTGCTTGTTTTTTACTTCTCCGGGCAAGCGTATCAGGTGACGTCAGCAACGTCTCAATACGGGCCTCAGCGGTGTCCATGTGATTGGCGTAACTCGCTTGCGCAGCGCGCGTTTTGGGAGCCGTTCGGCCGCCCCACCGTGGCCCCGCCGTTGCCACCGTCTTCGACGTCAAAACCGCCATTGTTGTCTCACAGTTTGTGATTATCGTCTCTCGGAGTTCAAGGTTCAAGGTTCAAGGTGTTTATTTGCACAACTTCCACACAGCCGAGCGCCTGAAGCAGCCAAAAGGCAGAAGCCCGTACAACCAAGTGCTGGCTGCCTTCTCGGCTGTGTGTTCACAGCTGAAATGATGAAGATAAATCTACAAATGAAAGGAAGGAAGAACTGGTAGTTACACAAAATTATCGAGCTCTGAGGGCACGCGACACAGTCCTGCTAAAGTCGTGGACACTACGTGTGCAGACTAATGCCGCAGTTGTGCAGATGTCGAATGCCGTAGACACCAAAACGTGGTGAAGAGTGCGGTGCAGACGACACTTGCGCCTGGTACCCGCCCGCCCCAATCCAGCCCGTCGTCGCGTAGAGGATCGCGTGGCATCTTGTACCACGTGATGGCCAAGTTCTTGGCGGCCTGAGGCCAATGTTGCCGGATGGAGCCGAAGTTGCAGTTTCGATTTCTGCTCATGTTTGAGTTAGACTTAAAAATAAATATCCCATTTTTCGCGAAGTAAATGACGTAGTGTCTTTTAGTAGGCCATTAACTTTAATGCGAAATCACTCCTCATCCCGAAATCTTCGGAATTGAGCGGAGTTGCCCTTTAAGTGTCGACTGGACGTGAGCGGCCAGGGACCTCTGGAAGAGGAGAATGAGGGGCGCCGAGAAAGCGAGCCGCTGCACCAGTGTCCCGGGGCGCTGACGAGGGGGAGGAAGGCAAGAGCATTGGAGTGGCAGTGGAGGAAGAAAGAGCAGTCCCAGAGGAGGTAAAGGGTGTTTGGAAAGCACCCGCAATAGGGGTAAATGGGCCGCCCAATTGACCGTTCATAATATACAGGGTGTTTTTTTTTTATTCTTACACATTTGTTTAAAAAACAAACCGTGAAAGCTACACTAATGCGGTTAATGCAGGTGGGTTGTACGGCCAGGTGGACATTATGTGGGTGGCTAATCTTTGCGATAAGTCGGCTAATTAATTAAAATTCGTTAATTAACTTTTAAGTATTGGAATTAGACATATGATTCCAATTGAAAACTTGTAGAGCATCATCGAAAACCACTAAATCATCTTTTTTTGGAATGATATAACGCCGGGGAAACATTTTACAGCGTTCTGTAAAAACGCTCCATTTGGAGGCGTTTCTAGATTTCGGTTTCTTATCGGAGCGCATCACCGCGCCCGCGGTCCTGCTCCCCAGTGGCTGAGACGCGCAACACACGTGCGCCGTACTTCCCTCCATTCTACGAGGGAGGCGAGGAGGTGGCCTCGCGCCGCGACCACCGGGGAACAGGGTCACGGGCGCGTAGATGCGCTTCGATAAGAAACCGAAATCTAGAAATGCGTTAAAATGGAGCGTTTTTGCAGAACGCCGTGAAATGCTGTCCCGGCGTTATATCCTGCTAAAATAGTTGATTTAGGGGTTTTCGATGACGCTCAGCAAGTTTCTTATTGAAACCATATGTTTAATTCAGTAATTAAAAAATTAACGAATTTTAATTAAATAGCCAACTTATCGCAAAGATTAGCCACCCACATAATGTCCGCCTGGCCGTATAACCCACCTGCACAAACCACATTAGTGTAGCTTTCATGTTTTTTTTTAAACAAATGTGTATGAATAAACAAAAACAACCTGTATATACATATATATATATTCGTCTGCATATGTTCGTTTATTTCCTCCTTAGAAACCACGTGCGATGATGTGAAGTGCCCGTGTTATACAGGGTGTTTTTTTTTTTTTAAGCTTAACAGATTTGTTTAAAGAAAGCCGTGAAAGTTACACTTATGCCGCTTGTGGAGGTGAGTTATACGACTAGGGGGACATATTATAGGAGGCTAATCGTAACAATCAGTCGACTAATTAATTAAAATTCGTTAATTAGCTTTTTAATTAATGAAAATAGACATATGGTTCCAATTAGAAACTTGCTCAGCGTCATCGAAAACCACTAAATCAGGCATTTTCAGAAAGACTTTCGGCGGGTGAGAAGCGTGGTATTGTACTAAAGTTACCACTCGTGGAGCAGGTATAAGGCTGGCACTAGATAAAGAGGCGGAAAAATCGCGCGGACGCCTTATCGCAACCGCTAGCTTTGTACCTGCTCCACGTGTGGTAACTTTAGTGCACTACTGCACTTCTCACGCGCTCAAAGTCCTTCTAAAAATGACTGATTTAGTGGTTTTCGATGACGCTGAGCAAGTTTCTAATTGCAACCATATGTCGATTTTCATTAATAAAAAGTTAATTAACGAATTTTAATTAATTAGCCGACTGATCGTTACGATTAGCCCCCTATAATATGTCCCCTAGCCGCATAACTCACCTCCACAAGCGGCGTAAGTGTAACTTTCAT